TAAAAATGAATTAATATATAACTTATATGTCGATGCTGACTAGTGGTCGAGCAGATAAAACCACCGAACACTGGTAGCGCCTCATCAACGATTGCGCAGTCCTTTACGTATTTTACACTTAAACAGGGTCCAGGTTTTCAGAAAAAGTCCTCCGAGTCACTCCCTCCTTGGCAGACCGCGCTTCCTTATTCCATCAATCCATCCAATCCTTATCTTTCAAATTTACTCGTTATATTTTCTTCTACGCGCAGTGTTATGGAGATGCAATACCTTCAATTGTCTAAATATGACAATTTAAAGGTAATTTTAATTGTATGACGACATAAATTATCGAAAGGACGTCTTGACAATTTAGATTTATTTTTGTTTGTGCTAATCAAACTAGAAATACATTTTTCAATTTATCGATATCTCATTTAATGAAAATTTGAAACACTTTTTCATTTTTTCCCCGATTTAGCTAAATTATTATAATTAGTGGAGGCTGCGTACGCTTCTATTAATGAATTACTACTAATAATTACTAGAAGCTGACTAAAGTTTAACTGATTAGCGTAGAAATTCATAAAAATCATCGTGAGAAACAAATTAGAATAATTTAATTATAATTTATTGTAGTAAATTTTATGAGTAAATCATAAACTAGCCGCATTTTCCCGGATCGCTCGGGCTTTTAAGTGACGGGGTCGAGTTGGGAGAGAGCGTAACTAAAATGTACATTTATCGGCCTGAGTATTTACAATAACGAAGTTGCAAAGTAGAAAAAAATGCTGGGGATAAAGTTAACGGGGGAGCGAAACGTTTGACCCGTAGACTTAACATCGTACCTTTGCCACTCGGCCACGCCCGAACCATCGCACCTTTCTCGACTCTCTCTTCGGCGACATCGTCTGCGGAGAAGGAACCATATTTATAGTTTACTCAAACTGAAACCCTCTATAGATTCAGTTTTCTTATTTTGAAAGCTATTTGTTTACACTTATTAAATATATGCACGGATAAGTAAAATTGCTTTAAAATATGTTATATTAATAAAGGAAAAGGATTTTATACCTAAAATATTTCATTTTATTTTCGAGTAGAAATTTTCTAGAAATTATGAAAATATATAAAGGCCTTCTCGTTCCCTTCTTAAAACTGTAGTAATCATTAAAAGTTAATAAATAAATAAATATTATTAAATTATTATAATTCGCTTTTATTAACAGTTCAAAATTTGTTAACATTTTTATAATATACGTTAAACAAAGAACACACGTACAGTACATACATCACTATCACCTTGATTCTTTTCAATTTTTTCTAGGCAATAAGCGTGCAACAGAATTGCTCGATAAATTGACAGAAAAGGGTAAATACTACTTTACTATTTACTAAGCTCGTAAACGGGTATAAATGTAAATAATTAAACATAAAACTTAATAAGAAATTTTAAATTACAATCTTGTCAATAATAAGTTTATCGATAACCGCTTTAATTAATAAATCAGCTCGAATCATTTATTTGTATTTCATTCACGAATACTGCAATAAAAGGAAATCATTTTTTTCTAAAAAATTAGTTATTTTTTCGTATTCATGTTTAAATGATTTTTAACGATTTTCACCACCAGAGAAAATGTGGCGCTCGAGGATGACTATGATAAAACAAGTAGACAATAAAATGTAGTTTTATTAAAACAATATAAAATTACATTTTACACATTTACAGTATGTGCTCAATGTAGTTGCTCTGCCGAACACGTAAAATCGAACATAACATTTCAGAAGGAATCAGGGAGACACGTCGCACTACGCTGGTCTCGAGTTCCGGTACATACGTCTGAAAAAGCACGATCTTTCAAATAACGTACCTTTTCGACCGAACAGTCTCCAGTGTGCCGCAAAAATTTTTGAAGGTAATTAATAAATTATTTTAGAAAGAAGCCCAAAGAGCAATCCGTAATTGTTAATATTTAGTTCAAATTATTTTAACTTAGAAATACCGGGACATTGGACGGGTTTCTAAAAGCAATCATCGGGCCACTTTTAAATGCAAATCAAGACTTAATGTTAATTGTTTTTCTCGTGTAAATAAAAATTATTAATTTAAATAACTAATGTCGTAACCGCTGCTATTTCGAGAAACAATAATACTGTTTCCTTTAATTTACAAAAAGTATAGACAGAATTAGGTTAAGTGGCAAATAATATGACCATCGAATGTTTACAAACACGACTTTAAATTGCGTGTTTTTTCCGCGGAAATTTAATTATAGGTTCGAGTATAGCGTGAGATAAAAAAGGTTAAAAAACACTGCTCTGCTTTGTACGACTACCCGAGATAGTTCGTGTGAAAGCCCTCGCACGTATAATTTTATAGGAAAACAAATAAACATATTTTATTCTAAGAAAGACTTACCGTATAGTTGTTTAAGCGATAAAAATATTATTTAAATATTAATATCATAAAAATTTATAAATTGCCACAATAAATTTTCAGAAGGTTATAACTATTATTGAAGTAATAACGCAGAAAACGTTCATCCTTAACAGATAATAAAGAAAAACGTAAATACGCGTTAAAGCCAGAGCAAATACTGTACACAGCTCAAAATAAATACTGTATAACAATTCAAGTTTTATTTTCAAAATTAAAAAAAAAACATATCATTTAAATTTTTTATAATTAATGTAAATAAATTATTCGGAAATTTTTTATACTTTCCATCATAAACCAATTTATAGCGGAACAGACAAGATAATTTATCGGAAGAATAAGTGATAGGAAAATTTATAGTTATATAAGCTGAAAGAAAATTGATTTCTTGCTATAAGTTAAAATGTGGTGCACGTATAAAGGCGATGCAATTAATTTTTATGATGTTAATTATAAATGTAATGAAATGTGAAATTCTCAATAAATGCATTGAAATGTATTGCAAATCAATTTTATAATTGACATCCTTAAACATGGTAGCTGTATTCTTATTCGTTTAACTGTATAATCTTTTATGTCAGGTATAGTATTTTCTACTGTCTGTTGTCTGTCCGTCTTTCCTTAACCTCAAGAAAAGAACGAGGTAGATGAAAGTCGAGACAAGGCATGGAAAGCTTAGCGGCAGGAGGGGCCCGATTAACTATACACAAATTTCCTGTTCAGATCGGAAGTCGAGTTATTTCAATTTAAAACTTTTCTCCCGAACGGAGTTAGATGGATAATCGACACGACTCTATTGCGAACAGACGTACAGGGGCAAGCCACTCTAATTTCAGACGGATAGATATATTTTAAATTGAAAATTGCAGCCCCGCATTGTGACGAACCGATCTCACAATAAATAATAGCTCGTTATTTTACGCTTTGGTTGCGTACAGTAAAATTTTATTGAAAAATAAAATAAAATAAATCAATTTTAGAATCAACAAAAGGAAAGTATTCGTTTAAAATAAATATGATTGATAGCTAATGGCAAAAAAAGTATTTAAAACAGATGAAAAACAATAAAGCTGTCTTCCAACGCACTCAAATTTCAAACCAAAAAAATTATGTAAGTTTTAATAAAAGAAAACTCAAAAAATGAAGAACAGAGAATAATCATACGTAGGCAGAAATGAAATTAGTGGCCTTCTAATAAAACGGAAATAGATGAATTATTTTTATTTGAAAATTGCATCTTAAAGTACATCATTTTTTAAAACTTTTTCCGCCCTGTGGGCACTAAGAGGGCCTCTTTTAGCAGCCCATTATGGATTCGACCAGGCTCAAAATGGGGCGGCCGGGTGGTGAGGGACGGGGGCCGACATATCCGGTTGGATCACCCCCGAAAAATTCCTGGGGAATTTTTCATCCTAAGCAAAGAGCATTATTGATTTTTGGTAAAAATTCTTGTCCGAATTTTAGAAAAAAAGACAAAAAACTTGCTGCTGAGAAAGCGCAGTCAGATTCAACGCCAATTATATTGACCATAAACAATGTTCTGTGCAAAAGATCTATATTTTTGCTTTTAGTTAAGGTAGCTTTACAGTATTTGAATTCATCATTAGTATTACAATTTTGGGAATTTTGCTCATATATTCCTGCGAAAGATCATTTTCTTCCGTTACATCGTAATTACCACATGAAAATTCTGAATTTTGTGTTTCTAAATTAATTCCAGATCTAAAACAATAAATATTATGGCGTGAGATTTTCTTTTAATTCTTTATTGGCTGATAGATGTAATATATAGTTCACTACATCACAATTTACACTATACGGTACCCTAACGGCACTATGTAGTGTAAATTGTACTTGACAGCTGGATGGTTAATACTCGTAGGTAATTTTTAAAATGCGAAGGGTCCTTCAAAATGACGGTTCTAAACAATTTAATCACGGATAAATAAATAAGAATGAAACTCGAACAAACCAACAATATTTCATATTCTAAACGTTGACCGCGAATATTCTATAATAAAAATATAATTTGTTTCTGCGTCACAAGTCGAATTACCTCCAGAGTATTAGTCACGATGTTAAAACGTGATAAAGCCACTTAGTGTTTTAGCTCCAGTTTTAATATGTATTATTATATTTATTGAGTTTTATATTTTATAAACAATTCTGTTTTTAATATAAAACTTTTAAGTAAAAGTATCTGCGCAACAACATATTTAAGTACAGTATAAGTTACTTACTCAAGCTGTTTTCTTTTATAGTTAATCGACAATATACATTCTTTTATAGTTTTATATATAGTAACATATAGGCCTATATGCCTCGTAGACTTACTGTTAATTACAAAATAATTTATATTTATCCAGAAGACTAAGCTTAAATGAGTTGTAAAAACAGACACGGAAGCAAAATAATATAATTATAATGGAAAATTATATTAAATATATGATTAGATGAAATAATTAACAAATTTTATTATTTAGATAATTAAGTATTTACTTGACTTGAGCATTTTTATTATATTAAGTTAATATATACTTAAATATAAACGATATATTTATATATATGCTTTTTTAATTAGAAATCATTTAGAAGAATTAGAAATTATTCCAGAAGATTACAGTAGATTTGTTGCCCCTATTGTTAACGGTAAGTGTGTCTTTATCTTGAAGAAAACAGAAAAACTCATTCATAAAATAACATTAAAAATTAAAATATATGCTCGCCACCTCAAATCAGTAGTGGCTCGCCCTTGTACAGTACATCATACTTTTTCTTTAACAATGTAGTCGTTCCAGTCATCTATTTAACACTTTTCGGGGAAAAAATTTAAATTGAAATAACGTGACTTTTGGTCTGCAGCGGAAGTTCGTATATAGTTAATCGGGGCCTCCTGTCCCCACGGTTTCCATATTTGGTCTCAACTTTCATCCGTCTAACTCCGTTCTTGAGATTAAGGAAAGACGGGCGAACAGACGGATGACTTGGAATTTATAGGTCTACAATTTTCAAATTGCAGCCCAACAATGAACCGAGTACTAAATGCACTTTATATATCAGCTTTATACAGGGTAATGCGGACAGGCTTTCATTTTGGGGATAAAAAAAATACTGTCCGCGTACGTTTTTGTGAACTTCCTGTTTTGTCCAGTGATGACGTTTTTCTTCACTCTGGCGTTGTAAAAATGGGAGATTTTCTTCTATTTTTACTAAATAAAACTCCTAAATTTAGAATTCAGAAGTAGAAATACGTTGGTAATTGAGTAACGCTTTCACTTCGATATTATATTTTTAATATCGTATGGCTCTTCGCCTAATTTATTTTTGTTTCAGTTCCGATTTTCATTAGCAACCGCTTCATTATTTGGTCACTTATCAATCGCATTCACCTCTATCTTTTGAAGTATATTTACAGTTTATGATAATCTATTGTGTTAAACTGCACTAAATTAGATTAAAATACTCGGGTCTATTGAATTTTCTTCCAGATTTTATACATGTATAAATATAGTTTTTATTATATATACACAACACTCTTGCTAATCCGAACAAATTGCATGAGATTAGCATGATTAAAATATAAAAAAGGAAATCACAAAGGATTATAAACATAAGGCAGTACAGTAAAACCTATTTAAAATAGAACACAACGGCATCGGCCAGAATTTTCCGTTTTATAGCTGCTTGTGCATTAATTCTTGTAGAAACATCTGTGTTGTATTATCACAGCTATTTTACAGAAAGCTTCTGAGAAACAATGAAAGTACCGGTACAATCTTAACGAAGAAAAAAACAAACCTAAATTCTGGTCACCGAGAAGTCGATAACTATTTAAGCCCGCTAGTTACATCATTCGTTATTATATAGAACTAGCAGGTAAGCCCGCAGTTGCCCGGGCAAAAAATGACAACAAGCATTAAGATTAGCTAATTTCGTACTTTTAACCCTTCTATCGCATTATATTATAGAGATTGGTTTACATAACTACAGAGGTACATAGCCGATCTTACCCGTTTTCACCGGGTGCCCCCCTCTTCCGAAGCTAATTACAGAAATTTTAGATCGCTCAGAAAATACGCTCGATTTTCTTCAAAAATGCAAAAATCCGCATCTAAAATGGTACATTAGAAGCCGAGTTCTTCGGGGCAGTGGCGTGCCTTCCAAGGAAGCTGCGCAAGTGCCGCTTCCCTTATATTTTACTAAATTTAAATACATTTTAAGCGATTATTTTCATATTTTAACCTACTTCGAATTACTTAAAATTAATATTTTATTATAACCGCATTACGTATCTTATTACAAATTTCTATACACGTGAAAAACAACGATAAGCTTGCTATTGCATATTCGAATATAAATTCGTATACGCGTATTCCCAATGGAAGCGCCGTATTGTCGAATGCGGGACAGCTTCTACGGCCAAAATACCCGAATGGTGTAAAGCAGCCAGATTATGCGCTTTACAGAGCTTTACGTAACGAAATTTGTAAGGTAAGCAATGGTAATTACTACTTTTTTCCGTTTTAATGTATTTTTTAAATATATTTTTGTGTGTGTTTTTAAGAAAATAAAATATTGTAGAAATTTATATATAGTATTTTTAATTTATCGAATTTTTAATTGATTAAACTCATATTTATTAACAGGTCGTCCAGTATCGGTATATGTTTCTCTTCAAATTTTAGGTATCGATAATATAAAAGAAGCTTCAATGGTAAGGAAACAGTTCTATCTATACGGTTGCTTTTAATTATTTACCGTTGGTTATTGAGAATGCTCGTCATTTCCTTGTGTTATTTAATTATTTTATGTACTGTAAATTTATTTATCTTTAAACACTTTTCATCGCTTATGAGTGACTGATCATTACACATCTTTAACTGATTTTTCTTTTATAAACAGACATTAAATTTAGAAAAGATCTAAAACGTCTCTTCTGACTTTTGAAATATTTTTATGAACCTATCTTAAGCGCGTTAAATGTGAAAAAATCTAGGAACGGAGAACAATTAAATCAGAACGTCATGGTCAAGCGTGTTTTTCATATAACCAAACTTAAATAATTAATGGAAAAATGACTTTTAATTCATATTTGATGTTTTCTTTAAACATAAAATTAAACATATTGATACGAGGAAACAAATATAACAAATTAGTAATGAGATAATTAGGATCATCAATATAGTTATTATAGTAACACGGAAAGTTAATATTGCGAGACACGAAACACTTTTGTACTAACGCACTCTGCTGTATGCTTCCGATTTGTTTACGGAGGTTCTTTAATCAGTCTGAAAATGGCACAGTGCATAAATATTCTGCGTTAAGATTGATTGAGAAGCCTTTAAAACGTTATTGAACACGTAATAATCCCAGGTCTTTAGTCCTCGCGTATCCAAAATTCAATTGGTAGAATATTTGCTTGCCAGATTACCGGATATTCGGGTTATCGGATTAACCAACTTCTTCCGTATTTTAAATAAAATGGCAACTACAGTATTAAATAATCAATTAATTTGCGAAACAAAGCTGTAATTGAATAAGATTCCACGAATGTTCTTTCTGTTGCAGGATTTTCGACTCATAGTGGGCATTATCAGCATTTGGAAAGATCCTCGATTAAAATTATCTCATTTTGTTTCCGATTATCCAGTAATTTTCCCTAACGAGGGATTATCGAAAATATGGATACCAGAATTTACATTTCCAAATTGCAAATACGCAGAAACGTTTGACATCGGTACAGGGCATTCAGTTTTAAAAGTTCTACCTGACGAATCTTTATATCTTTCGGAAAGGTAAGTACGAAATATTGCAATTTATACATATATATATATATATTTTAATATGACGAAATTAATATACTGTACATTATTATAATACACAAGTATTCCTCGTACAACACGGCACTTCGACAACGCTGTTTCGCTCTCACACGGTTTAAAAATTGGGGATATTTCCGTACAACGCGGTTTCCGGTTGGAGAATTTGGGAAATCCTCCGTACAAAATTTCACAGCTTTAAGTGAAAACTCATTTATTCGATATTTTTTAATTCGAGTAAGCATGCATTTTATCGAAAATTTGCCCATGGATTTTAGAATATTGAAATTTTCAATTTGTTTTGTGCTTTGGTCAGGTTTAACGAAGACTGACAGTGCAATTTTTCCTTTTCCTATCAACTAGATGTCGTTGTCATTGTTTTCAGATTTTAGCCTTTAAGACCCACCGTGTTTTGGTTTTATAAATTATTCTTCGTATTTAGTAAAGTTTATTTAGACATTGTTTTTAACCATTTGTTAACTTTTGGTACCTAATCCCATGTTTTCTATTAGTCCTTTGTTTCGTATAACACGAATTCGCGTAACACGGCACTTTTTCGTATCGTAACTACCGTGTTATACGAGGGATGCTTCTATAATGAAACAATGAAATAACAATAAATAAATAACAAACATTCTGAAATGACGTTTATCATGTAATATCTTCATTTGATATCATCTATATACAGTATCTTATCCATATCTATTTTTGCTAATTAATATTTAAATATCTAAGTGAAACTGAATCTCATCTTATCTAAAACATTAATCAATGATTATATGATTTTAGAATATTCTAAATGTATATAATAAACTAATAAACAAATTGTTTTGAATTAATTCAAAAGTCTTTAATTAAGCAATTCTCGAACGAACTTATTTTCAAATAATCAACAACTTGATTAGCAAAATATTGATATTTATTATTAATAATTATTTATTTGGAATATTTTAGAATATAGTAAACGAATATCCTAAAATAATAGTACAATAGAGTCTTATTATACTTGGATTGAAATACGCAGATGATAAATGATTAGGATAACCTTAGTCCACTTAATTCGACTTTTCCCATTGATTTTAAATTATTTTTGGAATGGTGTCATCTTTAGCGATGAGTCTAAGATGATCATTGTTCATTCGTGTGGTGAAGGAAAGGTGAGAAGTATCGAGATAAGTACAGTACACGAAATACAAAGTGAAATTTTTTCAGTCTGTCGTAGGGGCATATATCTCAGCACGAGGACTCTGTGTTCTTAATGTCACTGTGAATGCAAAAGTCTATATAGTTCAGTTTTTTCATTCTTTTGGCAAATTACAGTCGTTTCCTTCGATGAATTTTGGTTAATAACCTAGGCTTCGTGCTGGAAGGATTGCTTATCCCAACAATTGAAAACCAGTTGGAAAATATCTACTCATCTTTCAAGATAGCGACGCATCATATCGCGTATGTCAGTTGCGGAATTATTCACTCGAAGAAAATTTGGAAAGGACGGACCGGCCCCCGAACAGTCTGCATTTAAATCCAATCGAAAATCAGTGGTGTTTATTGAAGCGCTTTGTGAATTCTCGGCATCCGTTAAACGAGGAAAAGCTAAAGAGCGCCTGGATCAGTGCAAAAATCTGTATAAAAGTTTCATTCCTGATTTAAAAAAAGTTAAGATTAATGTTACTTTAAATCAAATAAATAGACCAATACATAGATTTAATTATCTTAACCATTTCATCATGTAATATATAATATATAATATATAAATAAAGTAAAAAGTATATAAAAAGTAATAAATATATAAATACTATAATTATATTTAAATATTTATTTAGATTAAACTTCATAGTCAGTTGTCCGATGGAGTTACACGATTTTCCTATGGATATTCAACGCTGTTCTTTTATTATTACATTCAGTAAGTTTTAAAAATGTTTATGTATTTATACATTTTAAAATAATTTTAAACTTAATTTTCGTGATACGAAAAGAAATAATTAAATTTTCTAAGATCAAATTCTGCAATTAAAAGATTTGTATTTAATTTTTAAATTTAATAATAATGCCAAGGATATAATAATTGACGATTTCAACAACATCAAATTTATTTATTAAATAAATTGATTAACACTAAATGAAAGGAAAATTGAAGAGAAGAACAGAAGGGTGATCACTCTCTAATCAGTTCCGAAACGGAATGGTTCCACGAGTATCTCTTGCGATCGAATCAGCACGCCAGCGGAAGTCTATTTCATTTTTTCCGGTATTTCTTCACTTTTAACACTACGGTACTGCCGAAGTAATCGTTAATCTTTTGTGTCGAAGAAAGAGGTACTACCAAGCTTAAATGTTCTAAAGTATTTGGAGACATACAGAAATAATTATAAAAATCCTTTGATACCTTTTAATCGTAATTCCTGGATAAAAACCACTTTGTTTTCCTCTCAATATGAACGGCTATGATTATCATCGACGTTTTGATATTTTCCGTAACAAAAGTAATAAATTCCTCTGTCCAAGTCGAAGAATTAACGTTTTACTTTGCGTATTCCATTTTAAAAAAGTCCGGTCTAAAAGCGTAGAAAGTCACGGAATAACGCTCGGCCTAATGTACTGTACGGAATATCGCGCGTGCTATAAGACGACGACTAATGAACAATGAACGAAAACGGCGTAAGACAAGACGTTGTTACAGTGGCAGGGTGAATACGGCCTAAATAGGGACCAGTTTTTTTTATAGAAACTCCTTCCAAGAGACACACCTTTCAACAAATCGTATTTGCATTACGGCCAGTCAGTGGCACAGTGGATAAATTCACTGAACACTGGTAGTTGCCACGGGTCTTTTTTCTAATTTTATTTACGTTTCTAATACTTAATTAGGGGGCCAGTTTTCCTTAGAAAGTCACCTGGAAAGTTATCAAATCAAATCTACCTAACGGAACAAAACTAATCCAAACCGGGTCGTAAACTATAGGATATTTTTCACGGGTGTTTTCACGTGACCTTCTTACGTTAATGTCTGACAGTCCATTGCGAACCTATTCGAAACCACGATAATTGTAATTTAAAAAAGCCGTCTTAGTGCCCTCGCAGCAGAAAATGAAATAAAAATCCAACTGTCAAGATATCGTAAAGTAAATCCAAATACAGCCATAAAAAAGACTGCTGCTTAGAGTAGCTGTTATTAAGAGGTCGTTATTAGAGGTTCAGCTGTATATTAAAACAATAACAGTTTAAATTATAGATTTGAAAAATTGTTTTAGATCCTAAACAGTGAAACAATGGCTCTATATGATTAAAATCGTATACTGTAAGTCAAGTAAACTATTCAAGAAGCTAAATCTTTGAATAATGGTTTATTCGGTTTGTATGATTTTTTAAATTCTTTTTATAATTGGGTAACGAAAGGCCAATTAGAAAGTCTAAAAATTCAGAAAGAAATTTAAAAGTAAATCAGTATACAGTAATATTCAGCGAAACCCGCTAATGTGACCATCCGTGTAAGGCGACCACTTTGAGCCGGTCCCTTCAGTGGTCACACTAGCGGGTTTCGCTGAAAATCTAAAATAAGTTAACATATTGTTTTAAGGCTTTACTTTTTTACGATTTGAATATTAAATTAAAATATTTTAAATTTATAAATATATTATTCATATCAATACTAGCTTTTTGGCATTGTTTTATTTGATTAATCATAAAAACAGGAGCAAATACCGACAGAGAAGCTGTACTTAAATGGATGGGAGAAAACAATAGTCCTTACAGAACTTTAGAAAAAAGTATTCACGTGAGAAATTTAAATCTACTAAACTTTGAGGTGAATGAAATTAAAGCCTTACGAATTACTGAAAAATGGGTCAGCGGTAGGTAAACATTTATACATTCATTTCTTTAATGCTTTGTAATACGTCTACGGTATCCATTATTCTCGCAAATGTTTAAATTATTTTCTCGATTTCAAATGTAAACGTGGGAAATAACTTACCCGAATCGAAAATAAATTTAATCTAACCGAAATTAATTTTCATTTTGAAATTTCGTTTTGTTTTCTTTTCCTATCGCGAGCCAATTAGCAGATGGAAGGCGAAATTAAGCCAATCAGCAGACGGCCGCGGCATAGGTCAGCAGATGGGAAAAGTCTTGAAATGCGCGATCAGTTGTTTAAACTTAATTATAATATTTTAAATTGTCCGCTCTCGTAATCGTTAAACGTTTGTTTTATTGTTGAATATTCTTCTTCTTCAAATTCCTATATGTAGTCTGTTCGCTGTAACTTCGTGCATAAAACGAAGAAACAAAGCAGGATCTCATCTACGCTACAAAATTTATTTCTCCTCGTTACCTGGCGTATTGGAGAAGCAACAGTGTTCTAATAAAAGTGTGAACATCATTGGTTTTATAAATTTAGTCCGGGAGACAACAGCTCTTGCAACTATTTCTTGCGGAAGCGTGCACGAAATTATAGCGAATGGACGATAGTTGTTTTAATCGAAAACTTGATTATAATTAATCTATGTATCCTTCAATAGAAAACGGAATAGTACCGTTAAAAGCCGGGAGGATGAGCCATAGCGTAGTAATTTTGATAGGCGAAATTTCCAAGTCGGAGACAATGGTAACTACCATCGGCAACGCGAGAACTTAAGACAAAGGACTCTTCCCCAGCAGTGCACGAGCGAGACGGTTGTAATGTTGTGTAGATTTTTGACAAAAACCAATTGACGTCCCACAGATTGTTCTCGAGTACGCGATCAGTTCGGGAAGATTATTGCAGTTTAAAAAAATATAGACCTATAAATTCCCACTTGTCCGTCTTTTTAAATCTCGAAAATGGAGTTAGCTAGATGACGGAAAAGTATGATGTACAGGGGCGAGTCACTACTAATTTGAGGCGGAGAGCGCATATTTTAAATTAAATTAATTAAAAGTACGATTAAAAATTGCAGCCCGGCATTACGACACGTCGCGATAAATAATTGCTTATTTCGAATTCCGATTTCGACGATCCGACAGAAATCAAATTTATTTCGATACATGACGCAAAATTGACTTAAGCCCTACTTATATTTGGTAAATCGGGATACAGGGAAAAAATTTAATGGTGGAGATTCATTTCGAAAGAAAAATCGACGAATTTAACCGGCAAACTCCGCCTCATCGTGTGTCGATAGTCATTATTACTTCAAATTGAAGCACCTGCCAGAACCGAAGCGTGCTGTGACTACATCTTCCGTTGACAGAGATGGATTTTGTTTTCGCAACTGAAAGTATACATTGATAGCTATTTCTTTGGCTCGTGTTTGTAAACCTCGTTCTTGCTAATTACTTTTGAAATAACATTAAAATGACTCGCGTGAACCAGCGCCAATTATTCAAATAGCAACTCGTAAATAAAACGGATAAATAAAATAAAATTATTTATTTGTCGAAACAGTGTCTTCTTCTTTTTTTTGTTTCTTCTAATTCTATGTCACGACTTGGTGCATTTATCGACACTTGGCAAATAATTTCATCATCCACTTTTAATTCATACAGATACGCGTTTCGGGCTTTCGCCCCTCTTCAGTCTGTTACATCGATAGGTTGTGACTTGTGTATACAGTATCAGTCAGGCACTTCCGTACTTCCCACTCCCCCTCCCCTCTTTTCCCGACTTGACGGCCTCCCCCGCATGCCTCGTAACTTGTAACGTGTCACTTCTCCGAGTGCCGCACACAGCCTCGCCTGCGACTGTATAAACATTCTATTTTAATAATTGTAGCCTGTTTTTATGAATGTCAATGCTTAGGTTTTTGTTAATATTATTTTTGTCTGTAGTAATTTCGTAGCTTTCCTTGAATTTTCTTTTATACCAATTTTTTTCTTTGTGTACTATTATTGCATCATTCTTATCTATTTTGCAGTTGTGGGTCGTGCAATGTTCGTAAAAAACAGAGTTGATTCTATTATACTTCGGGTCTGCGATGTGTTCTTTTAATCTTGTTTCTAATTTTCGTTTTGCTTCTCCAATGTATACTTTTGGCGGTTCGCATGTGCGAGGTATTTTATAGACGACTTCGGTAGTGTTGTATTTGCCTGGTTGTTTATTTATGTCATGTTCACCCTTCCGGATTCTTTTTTGCAAGTTGTTATAGGTTGGGGCTAGCTTTATATTTATTTTATCAAAACTTTTGTTTGCCTGTTCAAAGAAGCCACGAATGTAGGGGAAGGGTATGTATCTTACTGTGTTTTTATCTCTGTTTTGTTTCTTTTCCAACCTTTTGTTGTTCATTTTTCTTTCCCAGTTATTTAGTATTCGTTTTGGGTAGCCGTTTAATAGGAATTTAGTTCGCAGTTCGTTGAGGTGTTTTTTTCTTCTTCTGTAGTGAGCTTGTTCTGTTCTCGATCTTTTCATACTCCGTGATGAATATGTTTTCTTTTATGTACTGGGGAATGTTTGAATTGTAGTTTAACACTTTCCCGATCTCGCATGGTTTTGTGTATGGCTCGAATTCAATCTTGTTTGCTTTCCTGATTGTTTTAATGTCGAGGTAATTTATTTCCGTGTTTGCCTCATTTTCTACCTTGAATTTGATGTTATCGTTTAATTTGTTTATTTTTTCTTCTATTTCTTCTAATTTTGTTATTTCTTGGTCGTATAGTATAATTATGTCATCCACATATCGTTTATAGAACTTTATGCCTGTAAACTTTTTGATTGCTTGATCTATATCTACCATAACAAGTTCTGCTAGCTTCGGGCCTATAACTGATCCCATGCTTATGCCTGTCTGGTGCGCAACAGACAGGCATAAGCTTTGTTTTTATATAATCTCAAATTTCTTGCAAAAATGTTGGCAATTTCAAACAGATTATAACAGTTTAGGTATATCTTATAATTTTCTAATACAGTATATGTTCTATACAGAAGCGAAGCAAATGGTTGGTTTCAGGGAGTTTCATTCGTTTCCAATGTCGGAAAATTCTCCCGAATAATCGAAAAAGTCGCACCACAAAAATTAGTATATCTTTCGGAATTAAGAGAAAAATTACGGTACAAAAAGGGGACTGGAAGGATAGGAAAAAGAGTGAACTTTCTTGAACGGCACTTTGAACCAACTGTCGGTATCAGCCATAAGTATCAATGGACAAAATCAGCCTTCGTGCTCCAATAAAAAATGTCTAAACACGGCTTTGGCTCTATTTCGTAATGAACGTGGAAGTATAGCTATTTTCTTTGCCCATGTAGGCTAGGTTGGATCTCGACTTCATTCTTGTTCTGCCAAACCGTTGTTAATTTCATTTCCGTATTGTAAGAACTCATTAGAAAAGAAAAGACATCATTGATACGATTAAAACTGAACGAAAATTTCAAAATAAATATTATATGATATTTTAACATTCCAATCAAAATCTATATAATTTTTTTGAAAATATAAGATAGCCCAAGAGTCAGTTAACCATTACAAAGATTAAACTGTTGTCTTATTTAAATACTTTATTACTTACAAATAACAAAAATTATTCAAAACCATATGCTTTCTGTTCGATGCACAAATTACAATAGCTTAACAAATTAAATTTATGATTCGTGTTTACGAGTGTACAGTATGTGGAACACACGAAACAAAACAAAGTTAGTCTAACTGACTTTTCGACTATCCTATATATTACGTGTATATTTTCTATAATAATTTAATACATAAATGTAATTTAAATAAACATATTTTTTATTAATTAGACTCGATTGAAGTTTGGTGAACTCGGACCATTAATTAGTCATTATTAAATATTGATTTTAGTGTTTAAATGTACTGTCCAAAACAGTCAAGAAGTTAATTAACACTTTAATTTCAAAATATTTTGAAAAACTTACGTACTAATTTTAAGTAATAATTTCATTTACTGTATACTTAACAGGTAATTTTACAGAATTAATAGCTAGTTTTAAATTCACTCGTCGACTCACCGGCAATATTATGAATGTTTATATTCCCAGTACATTAGTTGTCATGTTATCTTGGTTATCATTTTGGATCGACGTAAATGCTGCTCCGGCTCGCATCACCTTAGGAGTAACCTCTATTTTGACTTTAGTAACACAAATTGTCCAGTCCAGAAATTTCGTCCCTCCCGTCGATTATCTTAAAGCTCTGGATATCTGGTTTATTGTTTGTGTAATTCAAGTATTTGCATCTTTAGTAGAATACGCTCTAGCTTATCAATACGTTCGTAGGAAAACACAAGTAAGTTGTACGATTAATGTTTATATAATAGAAAAAATATATTATAATAATCGAGTAATTTTAATAATTTCCTAAGTAATAATACGTTGTTATTATTTCTATAGCCCGCGAAAGAGTAGACACGAGTCAGCCTGAAGAGTGATTAACGTGTGAGTTACATCAGAATTAAGAATAAGTAATAAAACTACGATAAAGATGGCGCCGTATTAAAACGTTTCAGAAACGCAAAAAACAAAAGAGCTGAAACAGATCAGATCGGTGTCTTTTATCTGAAATAGACCCTTCCAGTTTAGGCTGACTGGCGTCTACTCTTTCGCTGCGCGGACTATAGTAATTAGATATAAAAATACAAAACATTTACTACTTTCAACGGATTTGGAGAGTTTTGTTTCATTTTCAACCAATTGATTTTGCAAGAAAATTACATTTTTTAATGAATTAGGGTGACTTTATGGACGATCAAAAATGATAATTAAATAATTAACATTTCTCATCTTTCGCTATAAACTCTAAAGGAATTTTCTTTTAAAGAAAAGAATATTTTTACAAATTTAAAATTGTTATTAAACAAAATTGTCAGCATTAAAATTGTTTTCAAACAACAAAATTAAACATGTTTTATGCTATTAAGTCGACATTAATTCGAGATTTTTTACAGCCTCAAATATCCTAACTTATAGAAAATGATAAAAAGGTCTTTTAATCGTTTATCTAACTTAATGCAGAATTTAGTTTTTAATTGAATATGATTATGATCGATTAATTAAAAAATGAATATGACTCAAGAAATATTTTAATGAATATTTCTTGAATCAGAAATTTTAGGTGTACAAATCATCTTTTATTTCTATACGAAAAATTACTTTTAGTTTCATTTTTTAAACTGTTTATCAATGAAAATCAATGACTATTTTAGATTTACCGACGAAAATTGACGGAAATACTATACAGTGATACCTCGACTTACGCTGCCCCTACTTACGCGAACCCGGAGTTACGCGATTTTCAAATCTCGTCGATTCGTCTTTTGTTTGAGCGCCACGCAACCCTCGATTACTCACTCTCCCCACACTATTGTTCGGCTTACGTGTTCGGACGTGTCGCGCGGAATCGACACATAGCTACAATTTATTTTGTGTTATTTATTTCTGTGCTTATTATATCTACGGAGACTCGAGAGACTCTATGTGGTGATTTCTTGTAACAATGAACGAATCAAAAGACGAGATAAGATTAACGAGAACATTTATTAGCTTACATACATCCGACTTGGATTTTACACAAATTGAGAAATTATACCCCGACTTACGCGGTTATCGCTCGGTCCCACCTATCGCGTAAGTTCGGGGTATTACTGTACTATATTTTTTGCACCGCTACATTCTTATCTTAGTGTAAAAGATAAGAAAAAAAGGAAACAAACAAATGAATTATTTCGAAAGATAAAGTTAAAAATATACTATGTATGATTTAGCAAGAACTTATTCGAGCTGAATCATAACATTGACAAATTCTTCGGATGATTTAGCAATTAGTTTCCTATTGCTAAATCATAAAGGCATCCTATCGAAATTATCGCACTTTGGCAATATAATAGGAATAAATCTAAAATTATCTTGGCAATCATTTTATATTTATTCCTATTCTGTATCCTTACAAATAATGAATTTTAAGTATTTAAAATGATATTTATCTTATTATTGCGTACGAATTTCTAAGGAATGAAAGTTCAGTAAATATAATTAATTTAACTAATTTTATTTTAAATATCAAATTAAATACATTACTACTGTAATGTTTTTAGTGTATATTTTGTTAAATTAAACTGATTTAATTTTTCGGAAAATTTATTCAAAATGCACAAAAATTATAAAAGTGTAAATAATAATGATTTATTTTTTTATTATAAATATTGGAAAATATTTTAATGATAATAATTTAGTTTTTATGATTTATAAAGTTAGATTTCCACTTATACAGAATATTATCGAAATACCGGTCGGAGGTAAAATGTCAGTTAAAGGAAAGGATGAAAGATGCTCAAAAATAACATTATTGAAATTTTATAGCTATTCACAGCTCCATATAATTATCTGAAATTAAACTTTTTTCATCATCTTTCTAAAGATTGTTATGATCACTAAATAATTAAATATGTACTTATCGACAAAATTACACACCAAGAAAGAAAAATTGCAATTAAATGAAACTATTACGACCAACGTAAGAAGTCTAATAACGATAATAAAAGTACTGTAATTACAATATCCTAACAAAGGGAAAATTTTTTGTACAACAACTCTACAATTTAAAGGAACCTCTAGTACCTTGTAGAACTTCCTCTTGCATAGATACATAAGCAATACGGTCGGGTGTGGCGGCGTGTAGGTACCGTATGATTTCTTGTGACAGACTTGCCCGTAGATTTTGACACTGCCTCTCCGCATCCTCACACTCGCGGACGGGTGGATGGGGCATCGGGAAATCGGGAAATCTTCAGAAGCGCCGGTAGGATTAGTCACTTTATATTCATAGGCATCGGTGCTGGTACCGTACTGTACATGTTGTCAGCGAGGCCATATGTTTCCCGCGCTGCTTGAACGAGTCCCATCCGCTCACGCTTGTAAATGGTCGAAGCTGGCGTTCCTTCTGGTCCCACAAATACTTGATGGGCGAAATCTGGAGACTGGACAGACCGATGAAGTGTGACAATGTGACGAAGACATTCCCGAAATCCTACTTGTGTGAAAACGAGCATTGCTAAAAATCTTGCTTATCTTGCTAAAAATGCCCGTTTACAACCCTACCATGTAAGGAAATACTTAGTACGTAGGATTAGGATTTTCTGAACATATCGCTGTGCCGTCAATGTTCTTTGTACTATCACTACTCTCGCGTGATCAATTGTGATACGAGATGACTACCCAGACTAGCATACCGGCAGTGGAAGCAATGTTCCGCTCAATAGTAGAGGAAAAAGCGCTCACCAGTGGTTCTCCACTTGACACGATGGTGGCCAAAGAATACGCTTGGTCATCCGTATCAGTCCATGTTTTTCTGTTACGTAACCATTGCAAATTAAGCCGACATTAGTACCTTAACAATATCGGCTTTATTTGCAATGGTACAATGACAAAAAAGCATGCAAAAAGGTCCTCGTACATGCAAATTTGTCTCCGCTAATCGTCTAGCGAGCATACGGATAAAGAAGGTTCTGTAGAGAGGCTTTCTGGTAGCTGCGGATAGTGGACAAAGCTGCTTGCGCTTATCTCACGATCATACAATCGTCTTTGGCCCGCCCGCGGAGTAGTGCTGTCACGTACACATTGCACTCAATACCTGCTAATAATTAGGCCAGGACAACCCGGATGACAGCCAGTTCGATGACGTGGCCATTCTGTTTCCCTCAGCCCGATAATGCGGTTTTTTTTCAAACTCCATTAACTGCGCTTAATGTCTTTGCGTCATACAGACACGTCTGGCGTTTGAAGTCGTCGGAACAGATACACTGAAAATTGTAAACAGTGAGCTAGTATTAGCCGGATTATAAAATCCGGAGTAGCGAATTTAAAGCACTCGCGCGGCATAACGGGTGTGCAATCGAACAACAACTACTGTATAACCATTTACGTGTCTGTTTGAAATGTAGTTGTTTTTTGCAGCAATTGGACAATTCTATGCGAGTGTGACTTAGTTTGTCAATGAGAGTATTTTTTAACTCGTTTATCAATGAATTAACTGAAATCGAATTATTGACAATGGAGTTTAATCCGAAATTAATAAACACCGTTAATCGAGGTTTCGTATTCACTAAACTAATCTTATAAAATAGTATTTTGTCAATAATAGAAGATTTAATGACCCGTCAATCAATACATAAATCTTAAATGTTGTCTGTGGAAATCTAAGCTTTAATATTTATAATATATTCAAACAAAGTTGAAGGGATTTAAAAACTGTAACTTTAAATTTGTATTAACGTGATTTTTTAAAATTGAAATGCTTGTCNGGTGATTTCTTGTAACAATGAACGAATCAAAAGACGAGATAAGATTAACGAGAACATTTATTAGCTTACATACATCCGACTTGGATTTTACACAAATTGAGAAATTATACCCCGACTTACGCGGTTATCGCTCGGTCCCACCTATCGCGTAAGTTCGGGGTATTACTGTACTATATTTTTTGCACCGCTACATTCTTATCTTAGTGTAAAAGATAAGAAAAAAAGGAAACAAACAAATGAATTATTTCGAAAGATAAAGTTAAAAATATACTATGTATGATTTAGCAAGAACTTATTCGAGCTGAATCATAACATTGACAAATTCTTCGGATGATTTAGCAATTAGTTTCCTATTGCTAAATCATAAAGGCATCCTATCGAAATTATCGCACTTTGGCAATATAATAGGAATAAATCTAAAATTATCTTGGCAATCATTTTATATTTATTCCTATTCTGTATCCTTACAAATAATGAATTTTAAGTATTTAAAATGATATTTATCTTATTATTGCGTACGAATTTCTAAGGAATGAAAGTTCAGTAAATATAATTAATTTAACTAATTTTATTTTAAATATCAAATTAAATACATTACTACTGTAATGTTTTTAGTGTATATTTTGTTAAATTAAACTGATTTAATTTTTCGGAAAATTTATTCAAAATGCACAAAAATTATAAAAGTGTAAATAATAATGATTTATTTTTTTATTATAAATATTGGAAAATATTTTAATGATAATAATTTAGTTTTTATGATTTATAAAGTTAGATTTCCACTTATACAGAATATTATCGAAATACCGGTCGGAGGTAAAATGTCAGTTAAAGGAAAGGATGAAAGATGCTCAAAAATAACATTATTGAAATTTTATAGCTATTCACAGCTCCATATAATTATCTGAAATTAAACTTTTTTCATCATCTTTCTAAAGATTGTTATGATCACTAAATAATTAAATATGTACTTATCGACAAAATTACACACCAAGAAAGAAAAATTGCAATTAAATGAAACTATTACGACCAACGTAAGAAGTCTAATAACGATAATAAAAGTACTGTAATTACAATATCCTAACAAAGGGAAAATTTTTTGTACAACAACTCTACAATTTAAAGGAACCTCTAGTACCTTGTAGAACTTCCTCTTGCATAGATACATAAGCAATACGGTCGGGTGTGGCGGCGTGTAGGTACCGTATGATTTCTTGTGACAGACTTGCCCGTAGATTTTGACACTGCCTCTCCGCATCCTCACACTCGCGGACGGGTGGATGGGGCATCGGGAAATCGGGAAATCTTCAGAAGCGCCGGTAGGATTAGTCACTTTATATTCATAGGCATCGGTGCTGGTACCGTACTGTACATGTTGTCAGCGAGGCCATATGTTTCCCGCGCTGCTTGAACGAGTCCCATCCGCTCACGCTTGTAAATGGTCGAAGCTGGCGTTCCTTCTGGTCCCACAAATACTTGATGGGCGAAATCTGGAGACTGGACAGACCGATGAAGTGTGACAATGTGACGAAGACATTCCCGAAATCCTACTTGTGTGAAAACGAGCATTGCTAAAAATCTTGCTTATCTTGCTAAAAATGCCCGTTTACAACCCTACCATGTAAGGAAATACTTAGTACGTAGGATTAGGATTTTCTGAACATATCGCTGTGCCGTCAATGTTCTTTGTACTATCACTACTCTCGCGTGATCAATTGTGATACGAGATGACTACCCAGACTAGCATACCGGCAGTGGAAGCAATGTTCCGCTCAATAGTAGAGGAAAAAGCGCTCACCAGTGGTTCTCCACTTGACACGATGGTGGCCAAAGAATACGCTTGGTCATCCGTATCAGTCCATGTTTTTCTGTTACGTAACCATTGCAAATTAAGCCGACATTAGTACCTTAACAATATCGGCTTTATTTGCAATGGTACAATGACAAAAAAGCATGCAAAAAGGTCCTCGTACATGCAAATTTGTCTCCGCTAATCGTCTAGCGAGCATACGGATAAAGAAGGTTCTGTAGAGAGGCTTTCTGGTAGCTGCGGATAGTGGACAAAGCTGCTTGCGCTTATCTCACGATCATACAATCGTCTTTGGCCCGCCCGCGGAGTAGTGCTGTCACGTACACATTGCACTCAATACCTGCTAATAATTAGGCCAGGACAACCCGGATGACAGCCAGTTCGATGACGTGGCCATTCTGTTTCCCTCAGCCCGATAATGCGGTTTTTTTTCAAACTCCATTAACTGCGCTTAATGTCTTTGCGTCATACAGACACGTCTGGCGTTTGAAGTCGTCGGAACAGATACACTGAAAATTGTAAACAGTGAGCTAGTATTAGCCGGATTATAAAATCCGGAGTAGCGAATTTAAAGCACTCGCGCGGCATAACGGGTGTGCAATCGAACAACAACTACTGTATAACCATTTACGTGTCTGTTTGAAATGTAGTTGTTTTTTGCAGCAATTGGACAATTCTATGCGAGTGTGACTTAGTTTGTCAATGAGAGTATTTTTTAACTCGTTTATCAATGAATTAACTGAAATCGAATTATTGACAATGGAGTTTAATCCGAAATTAATAAACACCGTTAATCGAGGTTTCGTATTCACTAAACTAATCTTATAAAATAGTATTTTGTCAATAATAGAAGATTTAATGACCCGTCAATCAATACATAAATCTTAAATGTTGTCTGTGGAAATCTAAGCTTTAATATTTATAATATATTCTGTGTTATAATTACTTATATTTTTATATACATATATATATATTAACAGGATAAAAAGACTAAGGTTTCTGCATGGGTTGATACAAAAAGCAGACACGTGGCATTAAGCATTCTGAAAGTTTGGATTTCGGCTTTTAAAGACAAAACTCAATTTCTCTTCGACTCTAAAGATGTTAATATTTATGACAGGATATCCAGATATATATTTCCATTTTTATTTTTAATTTTCTGTAATTTATACTGGATATATTATATATACAAAAGAACATAAAGAAATAGTTTCAACTTGACGTCGTCGTCACTGTCACTTCAGTTTTTATTCGTTCTTTATTTTTACAATTGAGGTATATTTATGTCTGGCACAAATTGTAATTTTTGAACAGTTTATCAGAAACAAATTGTGTTTTAAGTGTTTGATACAGAGATAGTTGGAGCAAAATGTAGGCTATGTGTATACAAAACGTTTGACTATCTAGACGAAGTATTTCGTCTCAAATCGATAGCACGGACTAGAGGCGATATCGAACGCTCCAAATGCCATATAGCTCCCGTTTAATCTCCCTAGATTTTGCAATATGGGGCAACTAAAGACGAAGTTTGCGTTGCCACTGAAGATTTTTTAGGAGAGCATCGGAGATCCAATGAAAAGAATTTTAGCAGCGGTCATATACTGTATTATTGGCCAATTTTATGAGCGCGTACAGAATTTGATTGTGTTTGAAGACAAACCTTTCGAAATTGCATTTCGTAGTCGATTCACTATTTAATTAAATTTGTACTTTTTCAATAACTTAATTTTTCCACTAGGACATATAACTGCTCCAACCTGTATCAACAAATTATTTAACACCTTCGAATACCGTCTCGATGACAATGTATCACGTTTTGATAATTTTCGAACGAAATATAATTTATGTTGACAGTGAGAAGCGCAACCGTTTGTACGTAAAATGTTAACCAACTCTTTGGGAGCCAATGACACTCGGAGTTACCGCATCGTAAAAACAGTGGCATCATTTTAATTCCCCGAACATATCGTAGATTAAAACTATTTTTCCTACCCATTCTATAGATTTTTTTCACTAAATATTTAAAGAATTCGTCGTGTTCAATAATATCTGACACAGACATCAAATAAGAATTGTATCGCGAATAATTTCAGGTTTATTTCCATCGAGTAAAATTTTACGTAAGAAAACAATTGCGATTAATTCTTCGCCGCGATGAATTCATTTACAGTATGATCTTGTTTTACTTGGAAATGCAAGTACCGTTTATAAAACAAAATTTCTCATAAATTATGCTCGACTCCCAGTAGTCCGGCACGATTGCCTAAACAATTATTAAGCCGCTTACAATTAAGAGAAAACGTTTTACTCGTGTTTTCACTATAATGAATGGAATTTTTACTTAGTCCCATGTTTCTGAATGTACGATGCGCGTTATAATATAATACCTTAATGTGCGAATAAAGCGGATATCGGTACTTGGTGTTTGAAATGTTAAAAGACGGAGAAGCACGGTTCGCTATCCTTCCGCGGATAGTACATAGCCAGGCATTATTCTTCGTGCCTCATCCACGCTGATCGACCGCAGACTCGTTTCTAATGAGTATACATATAGCCAGCTTAAATGCGCTGGTGTCTCACGTTCTTAGTTTACAAAACTGATGTCAATACTGTCGATTTGATTATTATTAATGTTACAATCGTAACAACAACCGATGGTGTTTATTGATAATTTTACATTTTTTTTCTTATTGGAAATAAGTAACAACGCTGGGGAATACGCGATACAAAATAAATACTTTTGTAAAATGTTACATAAATGTAAATTAATTTTATCGGTCAAATGTGCATATTTTTGTATTTACTGAATATTGTTATCAATAAATTGTTCTAATGCTGTTAAAAATGGTAAAATATTTTAATTTTTAAAAAATGTATTTTAAAATGTACGAATAATTTATTTTTGAGAACTTTTTTATAACGTTAAACTCAATCTATAACAATTATTTTTAAAATACGTTTTAGCACATAAAAATAAAAGCACTCTTTTAATATGACGAAATTAATATACTGTACATTATTATAATACACAAGTATTCCTCGTACAACACGGCACTTCGACAACGCTGTTTCGCTCTCACACGGTTTAAAAATTGGGGATATTTCCGTACAACGCGGTTTCCGGTTGGAGAATTTGGGAAANGAGAATTTTTAGATGGGTTAAAAAAATGTTCGATTTCACGAAAAACGCAAAAATCCGCATCTGCGCCTGTAAATCTTGCACGTCGCTTTCTCTTAACACTTCCATTGTTGATAGAAGTGTTAGGCCTTAATCCTGTCCCTCTCCCCATGGGGAGGAATTTCGAAAAATCCCTTCTTAGTGCGCGTTTTCGTGACGTACTCTAACTGTGTATCAAATTTCAACTTTCAACTCCTAACCGTTTGGGCTCTGCGCTTATTATTATTATTATCCACCCGTCTCGATTATATATATAGATTAAATAGAAGAAAATATTTTATTTTTCTATTTTAACTCGTATAGTTTCGAGTTTATATTTTAGTATTTAAAAATTTTATATAAAATTAAATATTTTGCTCTTATTTAAAATGTGTTTTTATTATTATGGTAAAAATAATTTAATTTATTTGGATTAGCTCTGCAAAACTGATAAGGGCAAAATCCCTTCTAGAGAGATAAATTTATACTTCAATATGACGAATAGGCGAGATACAATAGGAATGTCGAGGTTTAAATAAGTGGTTAATACTTGTATTTACGTGCTGGGTCCTCTCGAGCACTTTCGAGCCTCGGCCCAGTTTCTTTAAAAGTATTAAAGAGTTACAGACAAATATTAGTAATTAGCAGTGACGCCAGGCCACAAATGCCTCCTACTTGATACCTAACTTTTTTGGTCAGTGAGTGTATACGTGATGGGATGAAAAACATTCTTTTAACAAAAATGAATCTTGATCTTCGCGATTAAGGAAACTAAATTATAAATTAAAAGGGGGAAAATAAAATTGTTTTAATATTAAAACCACGCGGTTAAAAAGGAGAAAAATTAGTAAATTAAATTTTTTATAAGACGAGACGAACAAAAAGAAAATGTTAGTTAAGGTACGAGGTTCGTTCAACACCGTACGAAAAACGGTGTCGAACTGTATTAATAAACAATCGTCTTTCTCGGCAACCGATCTGGTCCAATTTCAGTCGGTAACAGAGAAAGACCAATCGGGGACCGAGAAAGGGGATTAATAACCAATAAAGTAGATTTGCGAGACCACGAGATATTTAAGCCCAGGTTCTTTGCCGTATGTCCCTGGCTGAGGTGTTTTCCGCAAGGTTCCATCTTCGTCCTTTGCCGATGTGTCCTCCGAAAGATATAAAACTTCGTCGAGAGAAACTTCGGAAATTCCCATCTGCATTCACCGGATATCATTTCCTGTTCGAAAACTGGTCTTAGAATGCAATATCCGGTCAGCGATAGGAAATCGCCGGGCCGGGTCGCTGGACTTTCCTCCTCTTTTTTCGAAGACCACGCGCCGAAATATACGACCCTTCGTGACAATAGTACTTTTATTGTAAGTTAATCTATACTAATATTATAAAGAGTAATGTTTGTAAGTATTATGTATGTATGTATGTAAGTTTGTTTGCAGCAGGTAATTTCCGAAACTACTCATCCGATTTCAAAAATTCGTTCACCAATATTTAGAGTGGAACCTCGGGGTGGACATAGGCTGTATATTATTCCGTTAAACATTCATATAAATTAAAATATATAATCTAGGTTAAGGCTTTTATGTCCAACAGATGGCGCTACGAGTACAACGCCCTAAGTTTGCTTTTATGTGAGGCATTACGCTTTTCTGTGAAAATGAACTAAAGCTGATCATCGTCTATCTATCTATATAAATACAGTAAAAATGTAATGTTCGTTTGTTCCTACCGATTACTTTGAAATTTTGACACAACGCTGCATTCGAATACGCGCGTGTTTTTATATAATATACGTGTCGAAATTCACCCACTGAAGGGAGATGGTTAGGATTAAGGCTTACCGTAAAGAACTCTGCTTCTATTTATAGTATTTTAGATGCGGTTTTTTGCGTTTTAATAGGGTAAGTAAACAGAATGTACACTAAGAAGAAATTTTTCGAAAAATTCCCCCCACGGGGAAGTGTTATAAATTTATAATAGATACATTTTGAGCCACAACAACGCGTGGCGGGGTCTGCTAGTTGTCTAATAAACGGGTTGTGTTGTTTGTAAACGAGGCATCGATCTCTGACTCAACCGCTCCCACATGTCGTTGACTATTACCACTCGGAAGTCCAGACGGCAATAGAGATGATAATGATATCTCTCTTATAATCGTTATTTGCTTTTTTAAATCTCTCTCCCCCCTTTTCGGTCCCCTCACATATGCGTTGCTTATATGAAGATTTTCTTCCTGGAATTCCATTATCTTTCTTTTCTAGTTAACAATAATTTCATATAGCGTCTACAACGCAGCGCCATATTTTAAAGAAATGTCAATACAGTAGACCTCCTATAAAACAGGTTCGTGTAATGCGGATTCGTATATAACGGCGAAAAAATTGCGACCGTATTCGTATAAACACGCTAAAAGAGACTCGTATGATACGGTAAAACGTCATCGCCGACAAGATCGGTCGAATCTAGACCAACAGCGGATATTGCGCAAGCCGTTGAGTTTAAACGAGCAGCGGACCTACTAAAAACCATTTATTATTTAACGGCCATAAAAATTATATTTATATTAATGACGTCTCCAAACATCAGCAAATTTTCGCAGAAAAATAATTTATCAGGAAACACTCGCCGTCATTCGATGCGCTGCTCCACGACGTCTTCGAACGGTGCGCGCTCTGTAAGTAATCCTACAATATTTTGTTTATAGCAGTTTATATGGATTATTTTCAAAAAAAATATACGTGTTTTGGAAATGTTGAGTCAAATTAGTCTAGAATCGATTAATTTTATGGAAGAAAACCTTTCAAACAGCCGTAGTCCCTAAACTACACACGTGCCGGGCTGTGATTGGCTCGTGTATTTAAGGACTCGTACAACATGAATTTCATAAACAATGGAACGTATCTACCATGTTATAGGGGGGTCGACTGTACAGCATTCGTCTTAGATTAATTGTCCAGCTTTCTGATCTACGTATTGCACCAGCCGGATGACCAAGGTGGGATCACATTAATTCCACCTTGGTCATCCGGCAGGCGCAATACGTTTGAAAAGGGCATATTTTAATATTGTTTAATTTAGTACATACGATTAATTAGGAACCGTTTTCTTAAAAACGGCCGATAAATAAAAATGCTGGGAACCCCTGGACTATACGGTCAATAGCGACTAATTCGAAAAGTTACAGTAAACCTGTGTAAACCGGAATCGCACAATACCGAATTATTCTTTCCGTTTTGTACAGGTTTTAGTATTATTTTTTTCTTTATTAGGGAGGTTGAGGAGCACGTTTTAAACGTGTACGTGTGACGTTCGGCGCCGCTTTCCCGTAAACCTAAAAGTTTGACGATGGTGTTTGGAATGTCGAGCGTGATTCCACCGACTATCCAAACACCATTGTCAAACTTTTAGGCTTACGGGAAAGCGGCGCCGAACGTCACACGTACACGTTTACACGTTTAAAACGTGCGCCTCAACCTCTCTATTATCTTTAAACTATACCACATAAATGTCACACAGTTAGGCACATTTTTAAATAGTTAAATCACTTTTACCTCGGTAAAACATTTTATTAGATACTAGGTTTCATCCAAAGTGATTCTAAAGAATGGAGTGTTCCAGCGAAAGAATTGAGAACTACTCGATTGTATAAAGTTCTCGTTGTCCATGAACTATTCAATTCTTTTCGGATGAGATTCTTTGAGCTCACTCGATAGCAAACAATATAATTCGAGTACCGAAAACTAGTGTCTTGTTTTGCAGTCGGAAACTCTAATTGCATTACTCTAAAACAAAGACAAAGTTATTCTGTCATCTAATCTCAAGAAACTTTAATATCTCTATTTTCAAATTTTGAAAGCCCTGTAAATTTCATGTGGCCAGCTTTTGGTGAGACACGAACCCATTACCAGTGTTCAGTAGTTTCATCTGCTTGGCCACTAGTGCTGTTTGTTCTTCAAAATTGGTACAAATCCTCTACGGAGAATTTTTACTTAAACATATATCTGCAAGTAGAAAAAAACAAGACTTCTTATTTTATGTTAGCGATGGCATTCACATGCATAATTAACAGGCAAACCAACAGACGATAGGGATATTTGCTTTAGGAGTTATAAGAAAACAGTTGTTTTATTTTGCTAAAGTATGACTCCAATTGTACAAAGTCGATTTTTAGTTTATTGCTTTCCATTTACGATAATTTATGCTAAGCTGAAACAGCTGAATTTGCAGCAAAAGAGCCCGTAGGACAATCACAAAAGATTTGAATATTGCAACATTTGGGCCTTAAATTTTTTATTTTAATTTGACAGCTGTTTTTAAATGCTGAATTTTATTTTTTTTGCATGAGATATCTTGAATGTTTTTCTTCTTTCTGCTCTTAATAGTTTTGATTTTCATTGTTCAAATTCATGCAATTTTTAATTAAAACAAATAGCCTTAATGTTTTTGATTCCTAGCTTAATTATATAAAGAAATTATATTTCATAGCAGTTAAAACAGAAATTAAATATCTAAAGTTACAGACTTTAGGGAACAAGATAACAGAAATTCTTAAAATATATTTCTGAATTTTATATTTGTTTATAAAATATTAACAATGGAAACAAAAATTTCAAAATAATTTATACAAAACTTTTTCAATTCATAGATTATGGTGTTTCAATTTTAAAAAAAGTCTATTTTTTCTACTGAAAACAATTGTTTTATTTTGCAAGTTAAATATATCAGTAATTTAATTATCATATAAAACTTTTATGTATACATTTTAAAATTCAATCACAACATCAAATTTTGAAAATATATATTTACTGAAATCTTTAAATTCTGGAATAAAGTTAATTACAAGAGCAAATTAAATTTGATGTAGTTAAAACAGAATATGTAAAAAAACAAACAAATTTCAGATGATAAATCATTTTTAAGAGTTAGAAATTCTTAAAATATAAAATGTGTTTATGCATTGTATTTTTATTTATGAATATTAACAGAAACAAACCAACTACTTTCCAATGCAACACTAATATAAGAATTCGTTTGGCATAACAAATGGTTCGCAAGAATTGAGATAATTCCACCATTTGTTAATATTTGTTGATAAACCAGTTGTTAATTTAGTTTGGCATAATGCACTCCACATAACAATATCTGCTACCGTCATACTTTCACCAACTAAAAAGTCTTGTTTTCCTAGACACGAGTTCATAGTTTTTAATATGGACTGTCTTTCTTTATTATTGCCGTGTAAAATGGAAGAATGGGCCATATCTAACCAATTATCGATTTCTGTGACGCTAACTGGATCTCCGGAATCGTAACTTGGTGTTAAGAGGCGAGCAAGATATCTAAAAAGAAAATAATACACACAAAAATTTACATTAAAATACAATTAAATGAATAAATCTTAAATTATTATATTAAGTTATTTTGAAAAAGTCATCCAATTAAATTACTGTATTCTTTCTTTAATAATATATCAAGAAAAAGTTGTGGCAAAATAATTCTAATATCCTAAATATCTTATAAAATTATCATGAAAGTACAAAAATAATTTTGCAAAAAAGAAATGACCTATTCTCATTTAATCTCATTATTTAAACTGATCTATTCTTATTTATTTTCAGCTAGATGTTTTGTTTATATTCTGTTTCTATGGGTGCGCTTACTTCTGAGTTAGCAGTGCTAATTCTGATAACCGGATGTGACGTCATTAGCACGTGTATTCGTGCTTGCTTGTCCAATTCAAAAGTGAACACATACGCTAACAAGAAATATGGCGGTTTCCAGCCATATTTCTTGTTAGCATGTGTTCACTTTCGAATTGGACAAGCAAGCAAAAATACACATGCTAATGACGTCACATCCGGTTATCAGAATTAGCACTGCTAACTCAGAAGTAAACGCACCCTATATAAATGCAAAGAACTACACATTAGTTAACAGACAAAAAATGAAAAAAGATTTCTAAAAATTTACTGCGCTCACTGAAATGGGCATTTATCAGGTGAAATAAAGTGGAAGTTAGTAATAGTGAGAGTCAAACTTGAAATATGCTGAGTCATGCTTTTTGTTCTCCAGCTGACAGTGTCAGCAAGCCTGACTTGCAACGTTTCCAAATTCCTTGTGCTAGTTCTCACAGGTTCTACTTTTGTGGACCTGGTTGAACAGTTGGCACAATGTCATTCACATAAACTTAAAGTAATGTCTTAACATGCACTGTTATAAGACTGATAGTGTGTTAAGGTGCCCTTCCTTCTTTATCTTATGAATTCATAAATCTTGTTAAAAATCATTTATTAAAAGCTTACTAACTAAAAGTATATTTTTCTTGATGTAAAGCTTTTATTATTACTGTTGTTGTTTATATAACATCATTTTTATATTTTTTGACTATCAAAATTATCATCAGGTGTAAAAACAATTAAGAAAAATGGATAACAATATTACATAAATTACTAAATATTGATCATCTATTGCACTTACTTTAATATTGTTTTATCTACAGGAATGAAAATATCTGATAAAATTGCTCTTTTTTTAACAAATTTTTTAGAGATGGGGTCAGAATATAAAAACAGTTTTTTATTTGCTATTTCTGTTTAGTGGACATTAAGCGTGCTTTATTTTCATATCCATTCTGGATTCAATCAGGTTCACAATGTGTAGCCGGATGGTGAGGGACAGAGCCCAACATATCCAGGACAGAGCATCCCTTGAAAAATTCCTGGGGTTTCTCACTCAGATTTCACCCTGGATCCAGAACAATTGGCTGACAACTTAATTGTCTCAGTCATCCAACTATCAAACAGAATTGTAACTTTTTGTAACCTATAACTTGAATTGTAACAGAATAACCAGAATTGTAACCTATAACTTTTTAAATTCCTTTCTCACTCAAACTGTTACCATATAATGTTATGAAATCTATTATATAACTTATACAGTCCGTTTCAAAATTATAAACACACCCAACATTTTTCAATATCAAAAACATTAACAATTGTAATGTATTTATTACATTAGTATGTTGTTTACAACATCAATTTAAACATTTTCTGAAATTTTTAGAGCAATCTGACAATTACAAAAACAATTATCAGAGATTTTCAATTTTTGAGTGTTTCAAAAGTATAAACACACGTGAATAAAATTAGTATAATAATTTTTTTATTAATTATTAGTTTAATTAGTTGTCACCAGAGGGGAATATCATTTATTATTAAAAATGTGGCGCCAATTTTAAACGGTTTTTTATGATTTAAAGCAATGCCTCGTGGAAAAACACTAACAGAGTTGGAAATACACGAAATTTACCAACTAAAAGGATTAGGACAATCTCTAAGACAAATTTCAGCAGCTATAAATCGATCTACACATGCTGTGATAAATGTTTTAACTCAGGGTGAAAATTATGGCAGAAATAAACAATGTGGAAGGCCTAAACTCCTTACACCTAGAAACAAAAGAAAGGTTTTTCAGCTACTGACGGTCAACAAGTTGTCTGTCAGAGAAGCAGCATCAACATTGCCAATTGCAGTTTCCCCAGCAACTATATGGAGATGTATGCATAATCATAAAAATGCCAAATTTACCAAAATGACTGCCAAACCGAAATTAACACAATTGCACAAAACAGCTAGATTAAAGTGGGCCAAAGACAAGATGACATGGAAAGAGGAATGGAAACAAATAGTCTTTTCAGATGAAAAAAAGTGGATTTTGGATGGACCTGACAGTTATAGTCACTACTGGCATGATTTGAGGAAGAACGAAGAAGTCAGAATGAGCAGACAGCAAGGTGGAGGATCTGTGATGGTGTGGGCAGGATTTGGATGGGGAAGTAAAACAGACATTGTATTCATAGAAGGTAGAATGAATTCAGAAAAGTATCAAGAACTGTTGTATCAAAATTTAATAACTTTTGGACCACTTATTGGGGGAGAAAACTGGCAATTCCAACAGGATAATGCTGCCATTCATACATCAAAGTCAACTAAAAATTGGTTTGCTGAAAAAAA